TATATAAAAAACGTATTTTTCCCGAAATTGGATTGAGAATATGCTTAAAATCAAATGCCAGGCCCCACCCCACTTTTCAATATTCTCCGCAGCCCCTGAGAAGGAATGAAGCACGGGTGATATATGCTGCTAATGTGCTTTCTCACCATGCAATACTACTGGCACAAGTTCAAGTCCCGCTAGGCTCAATGTCAATTGTGATTAGAGTTGTTTTTTTTTTGTTCCCCCTCCCCCTGGTGTTTTGAAGGGTTTTTTCCCTCCAGGTTCTCTGGATTTTCCTCTTTCCTTAGAAATCAATTCTAAACTTGAATTTGACCTAAAAAAACAATGATGGTACATAGTTTTCAAGAAATTTGAATGTTACTTGAAGGATAACAACACCATTTTTATAAGGTATATTTTGTAGTGACATATATTTTTACATGTTTATGTACAGAGAACATTGGACTGGAATTATCAGTTATTCAGCGATTCAGTTTCCAGGGAATTCTTAATGCTACTTACTCTGTCGATTCCTTTTTCTTTCTAAGGTAATGTCAGAGAGTAACTTATTGTTAACCACATGTCTAATGTTATCAGAATTAGGAAATATATCAAGAAATGACAACATACAACAAAACAGCCCCACCAATCCCATAATAAACCACACCACGCCACATCACACTAGAACACAACACTATACCTGACACCACACCCAAGGGCGGATCTAGAGGGGGGGGGAGCAAAGGGGGCTGAAGCCCCTCTCCGGGAGACAAAACAACACAAAACTGAAGAATTAGATGCTTTTTTTGTTTTCCGTTGTGTTGACGGAAGAAACTCAATTAGCCCCCCTAAAATTTTGGCTGGATCCGCCCTTGCACACCACACCTCCCCCATCACACCTCCCCCATCACACTATAATAAACCACACCACAACCCACTACAACATAACACACTATACCTGACACCACACCACACCACACCTCCCCCATCACACCTCCCCCATCACACCATAATAAACCACACCACATCACACTACAACACAACACACTATACCTGACACCACACCACACCACACCTCACCCATCACACTATAATAWACCACACCACAACCCACTACAACATAACACACTATACCTGACACCACACCACACCTCCCCCATCACACCATAATAGACCACACCACAACCCACTACAACACAACACACTATACCTGACACCACACCACACCTCACCCATCACACCATAATAAACCACACCACAACATCACACCACAACACAACACACTATACCTGACACCACACAACACCCCACCCATCACACCATTATAAACCACACCACAACCCACTACAACACAACACACTATACCTGACACCACACCACACCTCACCCATCACACCATAATAAACCACACCACATCACACTACAACACAACACACTA